GCCGGGCGGGTGCGCGCGGTGCAGGCCGCCGGCTGGAGACACCGGGGGAGCGCGGCCCCGCGGCCTCGCCCGGGAGAGGGCCCGGCGCCTCTCCAGCCCGCCGGGCTCTTGGCGGAGGACCGAGCAGGATTCCTCAGGCCAGGTGAGTGCGGCACGGGAGGAGGCGGAGGGCGGAGACCTGGGGTCGGACGGGGCCGACCCTGCTTGGTCAAGGATTGGGACGGCGGGGAGTGACGCGGCTCCATCACGAGTCCGAACTCCTCTCTGACCCAGGCTCCTGTCCCCAGGCGCCCCCGAGAGGAGGTGCCCCAACACCAGCCCCTTCTCCCTAAATGCAGCTCCCCCCCACACCGAGGCAGCCCGCGCGGGAGCTTCAGGCCCCCTGCTTGGCACCCGCTCTCGGAATATCCTATGGCGTACAGCTGGGATTAGAAGGGCCGCCCCCAGGTTTTCCGGATTTACGGACACCACCGCCCAGTGGGCAGAGATCCCCTTTACCTGACCTCTCCTTCGCTGAACTTTTACAGCCCCCAAGCCACTGAAGACCTTGTAACCCTCAAAAGAAGTGTTGCTCCCAGAGCCCACTTCTAACCCAATGAAGTGGTCAGGGGGATGCAGACGAGTGAAGCTCTTTCCCTGTTTCCTAGGCTGGTATCTGTGGCACGAGAACAAATTTACAGAGTTTAACACATTGCCGTTCCTTTCCACAGCGTTTTCACTGTGAAATGACAGCCCAGGGCGGGATGAAGGTGGAGACATAATGTCCAGCCCCAAAGCTAAAGAGATGGAATTTAGGTTTTCCAAAAAGTCATCTGGGGTAGCTACCGGGGTGGGGTGGGAGGGGGAATGAAGGTTGGGGAGCTACTGTCAAAGATTTCTAGCCAGCCTCTGCACGAAGTGCTTTGAGGTGTCATTTGTATTTTTATTCATTCAGCAAGTGTTTACCGAGCACCTACTGTGTGTCAGACCATTGCTGCAGGCACTGGACATGGGGTAATGAACAAAATGGTCAGGAACAGCGAAGGGTCTGAGGTTTTACCTTGTTTGCAAGATAACAAGTTAGCCTGCCCAGCTTACAGAGGGTGGCAGAAGTCAGGAGACTCCTGGGCCAGAGACAAAGAACTTTATTCCTCACAGCACAGCAAGTGCAACAGGCAGCCAGAGCTTCACATTCCCATTGATCCCCCTTACCCCCGAGTCCCTAAAGGTGGTGCAGAGCAGCAGAGGTAGGTGCTGTGCACACAGTGGGTCTATATCCCAGCTACGGAACTCCAAGCTTAGGAAACCCCAGCCTTTGAAACGGGCTGCTAGCAAACCTGCCTGACCATTGCCCCAAAAGGAGTCGTTATCTTTATTATAAACGTTACCTATATTCTCTTGGGCTGTTGAACATACAAACCCCCTTTGGAAAGATGGTGCAGGACAGAAATCTGCCAATGCCTTTGCTCTAAAGATGGTACAAACACAAGATACCCACGAGGAATTGTCTATTAACAAAAACAACACAGCTCTGGCTCTTTGGGGGCATATGAGGTGTGATCAACAGATATGGTGAATGTTTAAATTTTAAAAAATGTATTACAGTAGAAGACACATTGCCAGTAAGCCCCCTCAAAATATTCCCCTTCGCTTAGAACACACTTATCCCACTGTTCTTGCCACTTTCTGAAGCCGTTCTGGAAGTCCTCTTCTGTGAGTGTCTTTAGTTGCACTGTCGTGACTGCCTCAATATCCTGAATCCATTCAAAATATTTACCTTTCATGGTCATTTTGACTTTGGGGACGAGCCAGAAGTCGCACGGTGTCAGATCCGGTGAACAAGTGGATGAGAACACACCATAATGTTTTTATTTGACAGAAATGGACGTACCAGAAATGATGTGTGACATGGAGCCTTTCAGTTGTGATCAATAAATACAGTGAATGTTGCAGCCGAGTGCCATCCAACGGAAAGGCAGGGATCGTCCAAACGGGAAGTTGTGCATTGAACCTTAGTGTGTTACATGTTTCAACTTGTTAGGTGCAGTCAGTCGGGTGTGAGCTATGGTTGAAAGATGTGTTTTAAAGTGTGCCATAGATCATCCTCCATCATGACAACGCTCCGTGTCACACATCACTTCTGGTATACGGCAATTTCTGTCAAATAAAAACACTAGGGTGTATTCTCATCCACCTTATTCACCAGATCTGGCACCATGCAACTACTGGCTCTTCCCCAAAGTCAAAATGATTCAGGACATGAAGGCAGCCATGACAGCACAACTAAAGACACTCACGAAAGAGGACTTCCAGAACCGCTTCAGAAAGTGGCAGGAACGATGGGATAAGTGTATTCAAAGCGAGGGGGAATATTTTGAGGGGATTAATGGCAATGTGTCTCTTACTGTAATAAACTTTTTTTATTTAAACATTCATCGTATTTTTTGATCACAGCTCGTATATCTTAGAGAAAGGGAAACAGACAGCAAACGCAACAACTAAGTAAAGGAATAAAAAATGTAATAAAATGGTTAAGTACAGGAATAAAACACAGCAGGGAGATATGTTAACAAGGGCGTGACGTTACTGGAGGGTGCCATTAGCCAGGGTGCTCAGGTGGTGACCACAAGGGGATAACATCTGAACTGAGAGAAGGCACCGGCTTTGGGAACATCTGGGGTGAGAGCTAAAACACAAATATGCACATCATCCAGGTTTGGGGTTTTAGTCTAGTGGCATTCCCGCGGAAGAGACATTTCAGGCAAGTTTACATTTTAGGATAATTAGGCTTGAATGTGCTGCTTGTTAATGTGGTCCTCTGCAATTGAAGATGAATAATTGAAGTGATTTGATGGCGAGAGAGCATGGTTCTTTTGGAAGAGGAAATGTCTTTTCTCCTATATGAATGACAGCGAACTTAATAAAATTTATTTCTCATGATATGAAAGCATCGATATTTGTGAGGCATCTATAGGCCTCAGAATTTACACATATAAAATAAATTACCTGGCTTATTTTTATTTCTCATACCCCCAGGTAGGGTCTTTTTTTTTCCTTTCAGAGGATAGAATCCTGGTTTGAAGGACTTTCTGTTATTTATTGCGCGTTCCAAGTGTCAACAGACAGTGCAACTCCCCAACCCCACTCTGCCCTACCCAGCAACAATGGAGGCGTGAAAATTGAGCTTCCAGAGGACTGAGCAGTAGTTAGAGTGCTCTCCCTGACATTTACTGCTGTGTGACCTTAACGTCTCTGAGTCTCAGTTTCCCCATCTGTAAAGTGAGACAGTACTGATATCTACCTTGCAGGGTTGTCCTGAGGATGAAAAGAGGCAATGTGGATAAAAAGATAGCACAGTGCATGGCACGTAATAGGGCTTCAATAAATGATGATGGAGATGGTGATGATGATGAAAAGCAGAGCCAGATCTGAGACTCTCTACTATCACAACTAGGTGACTTTCATTTTTATCCACAGTCCAGCAACTTCACATTTCAGTGACCTTTCAGTTGAAAAGAAAAGAGAGGGACTTCCATTCTTTGACATGCTGTTGAGATGGAGGATGTCACACTATGTAATTGGACATATCTCAAATCAGAATTCAAGCATCATATAAATTATCACCAACAATTGATAACCTACTGAAGTCACTGAATTTTTTTGTTTTAAAAATCGTATATAGGGCCGGCCGAGTGGCGCAATGGTTAAGAACTGGCTTGGGACGCCAGAGGGCCCC